CCCTCCCCTCCCCTCCCCGTCTCCGTGCCGCCCCGGCTTGAGGACCCGCCCCTGCGTGCCGGGCGCAACCCGGTGCCCACGGCAGCTCCGCGACCTGGCTCGGAGCCCGCGGTTAACGCTTAACCAAGCTCCGGGAGCCCAAAGCTCGAGCCGCACCCCGTGCCCCTAACCTTTGGCCCCGCCCGCCACAAAGACGGGTGGAAGGCGAAGGAGCTGTTGCGAGTCCCAGAGGCCCGCCCCGCGCTCCCGCGACCCCGCGCTCCTACCCCGGGCGTTCTTGGCGGGGCTGGGGGACGGTGGGTCGTGGGTGTCGACGCCGTCCTACCTGGTCGCCGACTGTGAGCCAGACCCTGCCGAGGCGCCGGGGGGGGGCGGGTGGTTCCTGGAGTAAGTTCTCACGGGCTGCCCGCTCCGTTCCAGGCGCTACTGTGGAGATATCCGGCGTCCGGGCGGGGGAGAGGGGGAAAGGGGTTAACGCCGGGGGCGGGGGCGCTGTGGGAGGTGCCTTGGTGGAGGGGTTCCCCTGTAGGCATCACCGGTGGGGGCTGGCCTTGACAAAGGCGAGCAGGTGCGCAGCAAAAGTGAAGGGAAGTCCTAGGAGATGGGGTTGAGAAGGGCGTGTGCCAGGGTACCTGGGCTTTCTGGCGTGGGCAGCTGAAACCGCTGAGCGTTCACCGGCTGCGACGGGGCCCACCCTGCCCTGAACCTGAAGCACCTGGGCCTGCTCGCGCCCCGCCGCGGCACTCCATAATCTGCTACCAAAGTCACTAGGCCCGGACAGAGCCAGGCCCTGACCTGGGGGACGGGAGCACGCAGGGGTCCCATACTCTGGAGCGTGGAGCCCCGCACCAACTATGTGAGTGGAAAGCCACTACAGAGGAAAGAGCTAGGAGAGTGCACGGTGTATTGCAGGCAGTGGGCGGAGCACCTGTGCTGGGCTCACGGAAGAACCGGAGATGGGACCAGAGGGATGGAGATGGGGGTGGGGGGCAAGCCTGGGAAGCAACCCTGTAGCCTGTTGATCAAGGAGTTTGGACTTCATCCCCAGGACAACGTGGCGCCCAAGGAGCGTTTGATGCCAGCTGAGACCTGCTCAAATGAGGGTTTCAGAGACCTCCGGGTGCCAAAGGGAGCGGGCAGCAGCAGAAGGGACTAGGAGGTGGGGGAAAGGTCAGGCGTCCAAGCAGAGGCCCTGGAATGAAGAGGTGGGGTCTGAGAAGTGGGCTGCGTATTCCTGCTTTGCCCCCCAGACCCACCTTCCTCCCTGCTCCTCCCTGCCCCCTCACTGCCCGGTGATCTGGGCCCCCTCCCCCACTCTCCACTGTCTTCTGGGTAAGTTTGGACTTGGGCCCAGAGATTGGGGAATTTCCCCAGCTCTCTCCCTGATGGTCACAGACCTGTCCTCTCCCTGAGGTCCTCTCCCTGAGGCCCCAGCTCCTGCCCTGAGGCCCTTCCTACACTTGCAGGGCTCTGGGACCAGCCCCCACTCAGGCCTTCACCACCCTGTTGGTTTCAGCTATCCCTTGCCCATACCTTGGCAGATGGACCTTTAGGAAAGTCCTTTTCTCTCTTTGCATCTTTCTCCTTTGCCAGGACCCTGTCTCCCTCCAAGGCGAGGGAGAGCGAAGGCAAGGACGATGCCCAGTGTCACCTAGACCCCTGCTGTCACCAGGAAACAGGTGAACAGGCCAAGAGAGCAGTTGTGCAGGGGTCAGCAGTTGCGAATTTGTCACAGAGGGATGGAGAGACCTGAGGACACTCAGGTGAGCTGTCCAGGAGCATCTGGGAGTTTAGGACAGAGCTCAGAGCTCGGGGCAGCTTTAGGTCATCAGGTGTGGGTGATAACTTGGAGCCACGGGGAGTGGGTAGAAAGAACAAGGTAGACTGAGCCAGGAATTCATCGTGAAGACTGGAAAGGAAGCCCAGGGAGGGGTGAAGCCACTGTCCCCCCAAGCTGATCCACACGTTGAATGCAGCCCAATAAGAGTAGCTAAAGGATGTTTGTTTTTTAGCCTCTGTGAACCAATTCTGAAGGGCAAGAATAAGTAGCCTGGAAGGACTGGAGTGGACTTGTCTTCAAAGAAGACACACAAAGGGCTGGCAAGCACGTGGGAAGAGGCTTAGCATCATGGTCACTGGGGAGGTGCATGAGCTAGTGCAGTGAGACACGCTTAGCAGCTGTTTGGCTGGCTACTGTCAAAATGAAAAACAGAAAATACCAATGTTGGCGAGGGTCTACGTGGAGAATTGGAATCCTGGGTGTTGTTGCTGGGAATGTGATTGATGCGGACTCTATGGAAAATAGTACGGCACTTCCTCAAAAAATTAAAAGTAGAGCTACTGTTCCATCCAGCCACTCCACTTCTGAGCACAGGCCCAAAGCAGTGAGAACGGGGACTCGAATAGACACTTGTATACCCTTGTTCATCGCAGCATTATTGACCACAGCCAAAAGATGGCTGTATCGCAAATGTCCACTGATGGATGAGCGGAAAAGTGAAATGTGGTCCATCCATACAGTGGAATATTATTTAGCCTTAAAAAGGAAGGAACATGGATGAACCTTGAAAACATTATGCCACGTGAAATTAGCCAGTCACAAAAAGCAAATTCTTTCTGATTCCACTTCTATGAGGTCCCTAGAGTAATCAAATATCTTACAGACAGACAGAAAGTAGGATAGTGGTTGCCAGAGGATGGGGGTTAGTGTGGAATGAAGACAAAGGTTCAGATTTAGGAAGATGCAAGAAGTTAAGAAGTGGAGGGTGATGATGGTTGCATGATGACACGAATGTACTTAGGTACTTATGCACAAATGAGCCACTGAACTGTATATTTAAAAATGGTTAAAACGGTGAATTTTATGTTGGATGTGTCCTACCACACACAAACACACACACACAAAAGCCTGTAAATTCTGAAAAAGAAGGTTCCAGTCCTGCCAGAGGGTAAAATCTGTCACAGAACTGACCAGAACATTCTGTTACAGGCGGTTGACTGAGCACACCGATCAGAGGTCTGTGTGATCATTTAGCGTACGATTATTTGGTATTTAGAATCCACGAGGAAAAGGGCCGTCTTTAATAAAGGGCATTGGGACAACTGGGCTGCTGTTGGAAAGAAATATAACATTGGACTCCTGTCTCACTCCAAAATAAATTCCCTATGGACCAGAAATATAAATGCCAAAAACAAACCCCCAAAAGCATCTGAAGAAAACGCAGGGGACTGGAGATGGCTGAAGAGGCTCATGATGAGAAAGGCTTTTCCCAGCGTGACAAAAGCCGAAGTCACAAAAATTTTTTTGATAAATTTAATTAAAGCCCAAATTGCAACATTTGCCATGGATATAACCTTTCAAGTCAAAGGATGTGCCACACACTGGGAAAAGCTGCTGCTAACTCCCATCCCAACAGAGCACTTCTGAGCAAGGGCGAGGCTGCGAGTCTCGCCCGAAGTCAGCCGGCAGCCTGGACACGTGCAAAAGGAAGCGCACATGGTTGCTGGCTGAAAGATGCTTTTCACTCACAATCAGAGAAATGCAAGCTCGTGTGACCTGGAGTTCGTATTTTTCACCTGCAGATGGGCAGACATTGGAGGTTTTGCA